TAAATAATTATCTGAAGCTTACAACCAAAGTTTTTATCTGATGTACAACGTATAGAAATCATACATATACCAACAAGACTGTACATCACTGTCACAACAGCATTTGTTTTCATTTAAAGGCTTTATGGCTTTAATACCTGGTGGGCCGGTCTCTAGTCAAAATGCCCAGGCTGATTTTTTTTGTCCCAGTCCAGCCCTGGGCACAACACACAGTGAATTAATCTGAGAAGGTGCATTAAAAAATAAATGGCCGCGCCAGCGGTGCACATTGCAAATTAGCTCACATAGACACATTAGTTGTGCCACTTCTTAATGACGGTATCTTAGCTAACAATCCCAAGTACCAGATTCAACTTGTAATTGGCTAAAAATCACTTCACCTATCGGTGAGAGGTGAGAGGGACGTTGTTAGCTTTCCACATTCCAACACTTCAGACGCTTCAGGAACTTTCCGCTCAGCACAGCATCAGCACCACAGAAATACACGGAACATCCGTAGACTCGAGACAGAATTCCCAATGCGTTTTTGGGACTTTCAGGTGTATGGACCAATGTTTTCTTTTCTGATCAAACCAGAAAGCTTTAATGAACAGCTAAATTTGTCTCGCATAACTGCCTGAGTTAATGCCAGTTAATGCAACATCGAACCAGCTGGAATCCATAGCTGTGCGTGTTGATGGAGCTTGCATTTTCACCTGCTGGACATCACTACCTGACAAGTTTAACTGTCTTCAGAACATTGCAGAGGCCTTATTCACAGTATTTGGCTCCACATATCTGTGAGCAGATTTTCTCTCACATGAGTGTCCTCAGGTAGGCGTTTGAATGCTGGACACTCGGAGACCTGTGTCTCTGAGTGGGAGACCAGAGATCATATTAACATGTGTGTCTCTGTATTAACAAACATGCCATATTGGCCCAGTTTATTTTTCTTATCATTGTTGTGAGGAGACCATAAATAGCATTTGCATTTTCTGTTGTACAGTTCATTGGCTGTTATGGAGTTCTTGTTATGGAGAAAAAGTATCTTTTTTTGTTTCAAAATAGCTGATAACTATTTGCTGCGAACAAATATAATTCTATAAAGTGGTTCTATATAGTGTGTAACTGTTAATATAGAGCGTTATTAAATTTATTGCTAATGCAATCATATGGCACACTGACTTCTGACGAAATTTTAGATGGCACTCGTCATCAGAAAGGTTGCCGACCCCTGATTTAACCACTAGATCAAGTTACCTGCCCTCTTTTGAATTGGGCAGCCATCGATGGCTTTGATGGTAATGACAGTAAAATTAATTGGTGGGTTCAGCTAGCATAAAGGAAACGTCCAGCACTTTTAGCTTTACTTTTTTTAATGGAACCTGAACGAAATAAGTGATGATGAGGTTTAATTCATGTAATAAACTAATAGGCAAGGCAGAACACCTCGAAGGCTGCACTTATCCTCAGTGACTTGCCCACCTTCCGTTATCATACGCTCCTCATCTGTCACCACCTCTAAGACAAAAAACTCCTACAAGCAGCTTGCCTTGGAGTCTTACAGCTAAAATTACCCCACCACGCTCTCAAACTGCAGTGGAAAACATGGTACGCTCCGCACAGCTACCATACATCCACACTCCTCCTCTTCTCCTCCTTCCCTCCCTCCCTTCCTCCCTCTGAGTTCTCCTCCTTTTTCTGGTGACAGAGGCATTTTGTTTGACGCAAGGAATGGTTGCCGGGTGAAGTCATGCCGCGGTAGCCGCTGGCAGCAGTGGTGGAACTTAGGGGCCGCGTGTATGTGTGCGTGTGCATGTGTGTGTGTTTATAGACAAGAGTCAGTGCGGGCCAATGTCAGCACTACAGCAGGGCTGTAATCAGGCCTACCACAGAACATGTGCCTGGGCAGTGCCATGCTCACCGCAGGAAGCAACCGCCTAACAAAGGACTAAAGAAAAGAAAGAAGGAGGGAAGGACGGAGATAGAGAGAGAGTCAGAGAAAAATAGAAAGGAGGAGATGGAAAACGAGTGTAGAGACAAGAATAAGATCTCAAGTCCCCTGAGAGCCATCCTGTGAGCCCAAAAGTCCTCGAAATGAGTCACAGTTTGACTTTCTGTTATTTGAAGGCCAATGTCCTGCAGTACATAATTCCTCTGCAATCGAAGTGAAGATGTTTGAAATGTTCCCGGTGATTAGATGAGACCAAATGGAAAAGTAATGCAGAATAGAGTCGGGGATTTGGAAAATGCAGTGGGACAGCATCAATAGAGGCAGAATGATCCAAACTACAGATTAACAGCAGATCTGGGTCACAATTTGCAAATATTCCCTGTGGTTGGTCTACTTTTGGTCTTCTTAAAAGTTCTTGTGGCAAATGCAATAAGGAGCTGTCTTTCCTTTGTTTAGTCAAGATTGAAATAGGTTTGGCCTGTGTGCCTGCTAGTTTCAAACTGGACTGCTGCCTTTTGGAGCAATATTACAGACTTTCTTTCCCCCTCTCTTTAATTGGACTCCATTTGTACTTTGTAGAATTAAACTGGGAAAAAAATAGCAGAAAATAGGCAACAATCACTTTTAAACATTAAAGCTGTGCAAACAACTACCTTAAAAACAAATCACATTAGTGCTGCCACAGTACTTTTAACGCACGTTTGCTTTTGCTGGTCTCTCAAAGTGTTGCTGCTGGATGTATGCTTCTAAATTTAAGAGACACCCGACTCTTTTTGTTCTGCTTGGTCTGTTCTCTTCTTGGCACCCGACTCCTCGCGTCCCTTCACTGTTGCTAAGGTAACACTCCAAACATTTTATTTTTTAATCCATACCGTATTGAGCTCATTACCACAGTTACAACTCGCCTGCTGCCAGGATGGCCTGCCTCCAGCTGACCCGCAACCGTTTACTGTCTCCTCCCGGACCAATCAAGTTTGGCAAACTCCTCAGTAACCCTCCCCACCGCCCACCAACCCCCCTCCTGGGGTTTCCTCTCTACTCCAATTTTCTTCATCTTTCTTCCTCTCTTTCCTTCTCCATGCTGATAGAGCTGTCAGTCAGCCCCCTGTTCTGTTTTTTTCAACCATGCCTCCTATTCATAGCCCTTAACACCCCTCCGCCAGCCCTCTACAACTTGAGCCTTCAACCCCCAAAAGAAGTAGACACTCAGCTTTATAGTATTTATTATAATGTATATCACTCAGACTATAATTGCACCAAGATTATGTCGACGTTTAATCAAAACTTGGAACTATCTAAGCTTCTGGTTTCACAGGCTCACTTCCTTCAAAGACCAAACTAACCAACAGCGGAGCCAATATAAACTTCTATACAACCATTTCTCTCCTCTCTTTTTCTTTCTTCCAGACTTATTCAATGACAGAAAGCATGCTGACCAACTTTAACTTTGTGTAGACAAAGGGTATTCTTCTATAATGGGATACTGTTAAATTATAGTCTCCAAAATTTAGATTTCTGGTCCATTTCAAAACTGTATAGATGCTATGTGAAAGTGTCCAAACCTACGAGGAATGTGTGCAACAAGTTAAAGGGTTCTGAACCATTTGTAGAAAAATATGCATAAAGACTGTATGATTGATATAAAGTATTTTCAAATTAGCATGCTAGAAATGATATAACTTCTTTAGAAACTCAGTTTGACTGATGTTGTTTTTGTTCACTGAAATGTGTGTATATTTATTTTTGAGTACTGGATATTCTAGATTGTCCAGTCTCCTAGCCCACCTTTGCATAACTGCTCAAAGATCATCTTACAGCATATGACTCTGTTGGAGTACAGCACAGACTGATGCCCCTTAGCCCATCAGCCAAGTAGTTAAATTATACTAGCACCAGAGACACTAGAAGAGTTCACGTGTCCACATTATTTACATCATTATCTCTCCACAGCATCATCCAAACAGAGTAAAAAGGCTATTTGTGCTTCTTCTAATGTGACCTGTACATTTACCATTTCCTTCACCTCCATTGGAAACTTAGAAAAGTATCTGCTCAGAATTCAGTGTGTTTTTTGTACTGTGTATCTTGTGAACGTTACTCTGGGGTTTTTTTTTAAGCCAACTGAGCAATACTGTAACTAATGTAACTGTGTAGAGCTTCTACATGTTTTCCTACATATTACAAAGAGACAGATACATGATTTGGGGGTTCATCATGTAATATGTAGGCTAAATAATTTGCTAATCTATTACTGTTTTTCTTAACGGCATGTGTTGTGCCTACTCTGATGAAAAGAAAAAATATATATACATATATATATATATATAAGTCTTAAGCGTCTCACACACACACACAAACACACGCACACACACACGGTTATACACAGTGGCTATTTCAGTGAGCTTTGGCAGCCGCAGGCCAGCTGGAAGCAACGTAAGCGTAAGGTGATACTCAACAATGCCACTAACTGGCCAGGCCTCTCGTCTGTACACCAGCTATAATGACATTAACATGGCCAAGGCCAGTGCAGAGCCAGGACACGCACGCACACACACGCACACACACGCACACACACGCACACACACGCACACAAAAAGGAGTCTAGGATCACTTTCAGCTCATAGCGAAATGTCTGTGTCACTTATGTTTGAAATGAATACTGTGGGACAAAAATACACAAACAAAAAGTGAAATACAGACACAACACACACACTTAGACGTCACCGCGACTCCCTTTTGAGTGGAATCAGTGCGGGCAATAAATAGCTCAACATTCAACATTACACTGAGATACCATTCACAGCATATGCCTCATTCCCTCCAAGGAAGCTGAATATGCTGTGTTAGTACAGTGTCATAAAACAAAAAAGATTTGGGAAGCGCTTCAAAGTTTCGAAGGGGAGGATTTGAGTAACAAATTTATCCATTGAACTGAAAACTACCAACAAATCCAAGGTAAAGAAAAAGAGCTGGTCTCGCTGCCTCCTGAGGTGGAACGATTGAGTCACACTTTCAGTATCCAGCAAGTTCCATCCATGAATTGTTTAAGACAGAGCGAAGCTTTTGAGCACTTCAGGAGAAAAAAAAAGCACACACACAGACGAAAAAAATGTTACGTCCCAATGAAAAAAATGATGCATTCAAAGCAAAGAGAAAGAGTCTTTGAGCTCCTGTTGTTAGGTAACGAATAACAAACTGACAACAAACAGCGAGGCTTGCTGTCGTCCTCGAACCGGAAACAATTACTTTGAGAGTTTCCAAGTGAGCTTTTTATTAGGAGGCATGCAGCTATAAACCAAATTACTGCATTGCTTTGGTTTTGTTCTTCTAAAGTTGGAAAATATAGAGCTTTAGAAACACGGAGGGTTCTCCTTGCAGCGCACTCACCTCAATCTGTTGAGCGTTTCAACGTGAAATTTGTGCAAAAACAAAAAAGTTAAAAGCATAAACTTATTTCAGAACACTGGTGGTTTATTTCGCTGGACCTGCAGCAGGCAACTCATATTAAATCTTAATAAACAATTTATCAGTATAGGCTGTTGTCTAATTTATATTTATGAGTTTCTCAGTGTTTACTAGTATAATGACTTATAAAAACAACAACTTGGGACTGAGGATAAGTAAAGCGGAGATATATTTTGCCAGATTTTGAATGTTTTCTTCCTGAAGATGCAAGGCAAACAAGTCCAAAAAGAAAAAAAAGAATCAAAACAACCTATCCTTGGAGTGCACCAATCATGACCTACTTGGGGTTGGTGGGTTCAAAGTCTCCCCCCCTAAAATATTAATGAGTTCTGCTCCTCCTCGTTCTCCTTGTAAGCAACATGGGATCAATTGCACAGCAGAATTGGTCTAATCATGTTCCGTATTTTACTTAATGTTTGATCCTCAGAATTTATGATTGGTTGATCAGACCGATTGAAGATGTTTTGGAATATGAATTTCCCCCTGGATCTTGGTACAAAGGCCCTGTCTCCTTTCGCCCAAGGGAAAGAGATGAGCTGGGCAAGAGGTGAGTGTGGACAGGGGAATTCCCTGAGAAAGGGCCTTTAATTGGGATAAAACCCTGAGGCCGGGATCGCCCCTCCAGGGCAAGTGGAGAGCTGAACTCCATTAAACACACATATACACGCACGCATGAACGCACACACTTAGACATACACACTAATCACCTCTTCTCTTAAAAAAAACACCCACTCAGTCAAGGCAGGCACACTAACACGCCAAAACCATCACTTGTCATTGGCCCAGCTGCTCCCTCTTCAAAGCTGTTGGCTTCTGGGTGGCCGTGGAGATGAGAGGAGAGAAAAGAAGTTCTCAAGAGCTGCAGCCCGAGCCAAATGACACTAAATATCATCCATGAATATTCTTCAGACTCATGTACGAGCTGAGAAGAAACCTTGAACTCTGAGCCAATGAAATAGTAGAGAAAATGTGACACAGGAGCAAAGAGTTTGTAGACCCACAGAGGTGTGAGTCTGTGTTTTCAAGTTTGTGTTAAGGAGCAGAAGAGAATACTTAATGGATCCTAATAACTAGCAGGGAGCAATAAAAAAAAATATTGTCCAGTTCCCTCTCTCCTTACCACCTTGTCCTTCAGGCTGTTGCTGGCAGTTTATGAAGACAGGTTCACATCTTTTAGTGAATGAAAAAATACAACAAATTTAAAAGTTTGTCTGTTCGTGTTGCACCATGAGTGATGTTATGTGCATTGTTAGTAATCTCCATTGATGACAAGGTATCAGTATGTTGTTCACGTGTTCTGCATAGTTAGTAAACAGTATTTGACCCCAGAGTCACTGTTCTAGGAAAATAACTCCTAGATTCTTCCAATATGATTTAACAAGACTACTAAGCTTTAATTGTATTTAAACATAAATTAACTCACAAATTGCCCTTTTTCTAATCATTTTTGAATTCTAGTTTATGATGTTGTAGAGTTTGGCGTAAAATCTTTGCCAAATCAAACATGCAGATGATTACAAATGAGATTTCCATACTGGATCGGTCAAGGCCTGGTTAACAACAAGCGCCTGAAGTGCTGGTCGCCAACACGGTGCCAGAGGAAACTGCTACTGCTGGCCCAAGACAAAGAAAGAGGAAAGGGGGAAGGCAGTGAGAGACAAGGAAAAGCAGGAGGTGTAAGGATAGCTGGCAGTGGATTTAACCAATGGAATGGAAGTGGCTCTGGTGAACATGTATATCGAGAAGAGGGCCGAGCATTACAAGAGTGGAGGAATGTGCACACAGGTGGGACAACATGCTATGCAGAAGAAATGCAAGAGATAGCAGAATGCAATGTGTTGGCAGGGTAGAATGTAGCTAGACACCGTTGGATGGTAGTTTGCAGGATTACTTTGGAAATCAAGAAATGGAAGGAATTTTTAACCAGACTGCTCAACACAATCTTTTAAATATACTTATCTGGCCCTTTTGGACAGATACAGTGAAGACTGACAGGAAAGAGGAGGGAAAGACATGCAGCAAAGGGCTGCAGGTCAGATTCGAACCCGGGCCGGCCACTCTCAGGCATACAGCATATGGTCGCCTGCTCATCCAACTGAGTTAAAACAGCACCCAGCTTAACACAATCTTGAAGAGTCAGAAGATGCCTTGGAAATAGAGAAGAAGTGTACTTGACAGATGAGGTAAGGGGTGGAAGGGTGGAATATGATGTTTGCAGATGATAGTGAGAATAAGGAGCAGGTGGAAGAGCCTTAGAAGAGGAGAGGACCGAAAGTCATTAGAAGCGAAACAGAATATATTAATGAATGAAATGGAGAAACATAAAGTGATAAGGTGATTATGCAAGGAGTGCAGATACCTGATACCTGAGGTCAACCACCCAGGCAGGGTGGAGTGGGCGGAGACAACTGTCAGGGGTGATTTGTGAAAGAAGGATAGCAGCAAGAGTGACAAGTAAGATTTAAAAGATGGTAGTAAGGCCTGCAATGATGTACGATTTGGAGACAGTGGCACTGACAAAAAGCCACGAGGCCGAGCAGGAGGCTTAAGATCCTAAGATTTTCACTGAGACTGAACAGGATGGAAAGGATTTAGAAATGAGTAAATCAGAGGGACAACTCAGGTTGGAAGAAAGTTAGAGAGGCAAGGCTGAGATTGTTTCAACATGTGTAGACGAGGGATCGTGGGTATATTGGACAAAGGATGTTGACTATGGAGCGGTCATACAGGAGGAAAGAGGAAGACCACAGAGAAGATTCATGAATTCATGAAGGAGGTAATGAGAGTTGGTGTGACAGAAGAGGATGTCAGAGAGATGGAGTCCCATCTTCCTCTTTGTCCCTGCTAAATCATTTGTTGATGCAGTTATGTTGATGTAGTTATGCTGCTTGTGGTTTCTGTGCGGTCCTTGTTTCCAGTTTGTTTGTACTCTGGATTCCTATTTTGTTTATTGCATTTATTGCATTAGCCAAAGACCGCTTTGTTTTTGTTTGTTTGTTTTTTTAATTTATATTTGTGTTGAATTAACAGTGCTGATTTTATAACCTCAAAATCTGAAAAGATATGACTGGAATTGTAGCCAAAAGTATTGAGTATTGAAAAAGAAATGAAAAGTTTATTTAGTTATTTAGCAAATCTTTATGTTATTTATTTGACAGCATTTTAGGACCAGAGCCAAAATTCCTTCTTTAGAAGAAAAGTAATTGCTATGAAACTGCATTCACTTCATGTCACTCTTTCAGACCTTATCAGTAAAACGTGTGTGTGCATCCTCTTATGCATCCAGATGTGACCTGCATGTCCTTCTAACCTTGTTGCCGTTGTTGAGGTTCATGCTGCTGAGGGCAGACAGCTTTGCTTCCAGACTCTGGTGTCCTGGCTGCTGCTGCTGTTGGTGGAGCTGCTCCCTCTGGATCTGCTCCCTCATGCTCCTGGCCTCTTGGATGGCCTTCATCACTGCATCCTGGTCCCCAAACAGTGCTGTGGAGTTGAGACTGGACAAGATGTCTGCAAGTGGAGAACAGACGAGAGACAGTCGTATGTCACTTTGACTGGCAATACAGCATTGGGGACATGTTCGGGTAGCATAAAAATGAATTGCACACATTTAATACTATTCTGGCTCTGATGTGAATAACCACTGAAAAGGAAAGGTTATTTTGACACTTTGTGTAGGGAAAGGGATTTGCAATCAAGCATACATAAATAAACAGAAAACTTTTATAAATATACCATACGTACAAATGTACTGGCCTACCTACAAATTGCCAACAAGAGCTGCTCAGTCATGGAAATCCATGCCGTGAAGTTCCCAGCTCACAGATTTTGTGCTGACGTTAATGTCAGAGGAGGTTTGGAGCTCTGCAGTTATTGAACAGGGACCCAAAAACCCAGATCTGTAATTTTACGTGGTCTGCCACTTTGTGGCTGAGTTACTGTGGTTCCTAAACACTAGCACTTTGCAATCATACACTTATAGTTGATCATCGAGTATCTAGGACTGAAAAAAAAAATCATAAACTGGATGGTTGCAATGGTGGCATCTTACACACATTACCACATGTGGCTAGGAGCTTGACTTTATACACCTGTGGAAATAGGACTGAAAAGACCTGAATTCAAAGATTAAGAGGTGTGACCCAAGACTTTTGTCCATATAGTGCGCTCATATTTGATCCGTGCTATTACCCAGTGCTACAAATTTCTATTTGAACAAACCAGACTCCAAACTTTTTAGAACTCAGTTTAGTGCTTTTACTTTACTTCGTAAGATTCTACTGATACTAGAATAGAAAGTGTAAGTCCTTATAGTCAAACGTTCAGAAAGGCTGAACACAAATTCCCATTAAATAACATTTCAACTGTATAAACATGAGATTTCCAATCTTATATCAGCTCCAAATGTTGTTCAAGTTTTGTTCCAGGCCATTTGTGTCAAAACATGACTGAGCCTCCTCCCCCTTGTTTAAGCACCACGCTTCACACTTTTGAAGCCAATGCACATTTGAAGAATAAGGGGAAATAAATAAATAAAAGGATGCAAAGTTTCCGTCGCCCTCCTCATTTAATTAGCAGACAAGTAGGAAGCACTGTATGCTTGGGTGGCCGTTAAAATGGGCAAAAAATAACTTTGCAGGAACACAAGCGTCGCGTCCTCAAAGCCACTCCAGACGAGCTGGTGAAATTGTTTTCTGGGGGGATATAATGAGAGGCTTTAGATTGGCCTTAATAACAGATAGCAGAGGTAGGGGCATAAAAGGTCTAGCGCAGGCAGACAATGATGTGAGGAAGCTCTTAAAAACCAAATAACGTGTGCTGGGTTTCACTGCTTCCGCTGCCAGGGTTTTCATTGGGGCTAAATACAGGGCTTTGGACTCCTGTAAAATACAAACACACACACAAAACACACACACATACACAGGTCTACTCATGGGGTTTAGGTGTCTGCAGCCTATCAGGCACATGCGACGCTTCTTGGTTTGTCTGTGGGTGGCTGTGGGAGTGGGAGGTGTTTGGGTGGGTGATGTTTTTGTTTTTCCGGCTAAGTTAAAGGCAAGGTTTTTTTTTTTTGCTTGATGTGTTTGCTTTGGGCGGATGTACACTGCAGATGTGAGCGATGCATTCATGCACAAATGCATATTAGTGTTGGTTTGTGTGTGAAAGAGAATCCATGAGCAAAAGTACATCAGTGTTTTTTCTTTGCAGCATTTACTCTGTGTCATTGTAATTGTAGATAAGTGTAAGAATAGTGTTAATGAATGTTAATGAAATGTAGCAGTGCTAGTAGACTGGGTGGCCCACCCCAGCTAGCCCGTGGTGTTGTTACCTACCCAGGGAGGTGTTCCGGCCCATGCTGGGAATTGGGCTGGGGATGCGGCCTTTGCCCATGCCTGTGGGGCTGGTCTTGTTTCCAGAGAACAGACTCTGTGTTGGGGATGTCGGGGAGCGAAGAGGTTCAGCTGTCTTGGGTCTAGCTGAGAGGTTCAGTGGCTGTGTGGATCCTTCCTCCTGTTAATGAAACAGGTGCAGCATCCATTTATACAAAGTCCTTTCAACAGGAGCTAAATTACTAAATTAGGGTTAATAAAAAGGCTGTAAAGTAAAAGTTAGAAGCTGATATAAAGCTGAGCAAACCTGCTGATGTTCTGCAGTGTTACTTGAAGAGCCTTTGGTGATCCTTAAGTTTTTGGCCTTTAATAAATGAATTCGACCGATCAGCTCTTTAAGCCTCCTTACTGCATATAAACAATGGTACATTTGTTTGTGTGATTTCTTATTTCTGATCAGATCTTCATGACCACACTAATCCACATAAAGAATTCTTGGAAAAGGAAAAATAGTAGCATAAAGTAAACTTCAGCACGCCAGCACAGTCTGACTGCGGCTGTTGTGTTGGCAGAAAACATTTAATGAACGTGGCTCTGATTTGGAGTTGAGCCGCAGCTGAGGAAGTTTTGAGAAGGGAAGGAGCACAGAACGAGCTTTTGCGTGGGGAAAGGGGGTAAGTTGGGATGCGGGTGGCGTGCTGAGGGTGGGATGAGTATGCGTGGGGTTTACTGTGGAGGATGAGGAGTTTGGAGGGCACGGCACTACTGTTTGAGTGCGGTGAGCTCCGACGCCGGTCTATTGTGACGCCGGTTGCAGCTGTGCCCCACACACACACATGGCTTCCATTACTGCCTCGTCACCGAGTAAAGATCTGGCGCACGCTGCCAAACAGCAGCCAGCGCCAGTGTCAGCTTGTGAGTGCGCATGTGTTTGTGTGTGCATCAGCCTGTGACATTTAAATAAGCTGTTTCTAATTGACAGTGAAGAACACAGGGGCCAATGCACAGCTCATTGTTTCAACAAATTCCATATTTCCAGCTTTCACTTTTACTTGCAGTGACCATCAACATTATTATTACAACATTCAGAACCCACTTTTTACTTCTTCTATTATGTTGTCTCCGAATTTATCACCATATTTCCCTGCACATACCCATAACATGAAAAGTCTAATTCACTATTGTAGCAAAAGTCAGCAAAGCCATTTACACACATTTAAATATAACATCATCAAGAGAACACACAAGAAGCTCTCGGTACATCTAGACTGGCTCTATTCTCTTGGCAGGGCGCACTCATTTAACAACATTTGAACAAAGTACCTACCTTAATCTGAGAGACAGGGCTGGATGCTCGCTTCTCGCTCTTGAGGGTGGAGGGAGAAAGAGGACTGGAGGAGTTGGGAGCTTGTGGGAGGGGAGCCATCTTGGCTCCTGGTGAGATCTGCATGCTTGCCAGCTGGGCGGCATACAGCTGCTGCAAAAAAAGGGAAGAAACCAGCAAAACCGACAGGCTATTAACATCGCGCGCCAGCAGCTAGTCAGTGGCTTTCCTCTTTCATTCTCTCTCCTCTTTTCTTTTTCATGCACACACACACGCGCACACACACCCTTGATCCTGTCAATTTTATTTATTTATTTATTTTGGTTTATCCTTTCCCTGGTACTGGCTGCATCCTTTGAGCCAAAGACACACTGTAGTTAGATGGAAACAGGCACACACACACACACACACACATCTACATCTGAAGTTGACAAGAGCATCCCACACAAATGTAAGATTTGTTTGAGGTATTATTTATCAAGGAGGGATTCCAGCAAATTATTTTTTTATGCTAGATTATCTACAGAACTTTTCTAACAGTTATTTTTTCAACAGATGCTTGGAGCAGCTTGCACATAGATCAGCATCTTTCAGCTTTTGAATAGGAAACAAATGGTACCTATTCTGAAGTTAGGTTTAATAGCCTTGCTTCAGTTTTACTTGTAATAAAAGGTTGGTATTGTCCTGATGTTTTAATGTTTAGTCTTGGCTTTCTTAGCAGAGGAATAATTTTAAATGGTATAAGTCAAATAATGTAAAATTAGATTAGGAATATTATATTAGGAACTGCTTCGTGAGTCTCTAACTAATCTTGTCCCCTCTGGTTTGTTCTTGCATTAATGCTTCAGGCAATTTCTTTACTTATTTAATCCAAAGCAAGACGACAGTGGATAATCAGATTTAAGCAGGTGTTCATAGTTTACACCTTGGACCAGTGTTTCAATTGAAAAAATCCTTGAAAATAGCAGAGAAATAAAAAAGAAAACCCTCAAAGTAAAAGCCTTTAGTGTTGGATGAAAACATTAAATGACAAAGGGGGAAAAAGGAGAACTGACTTTTCATCCAAGGTACTTAGCAAAAATCAAAGAGTCAAATACTCGGCCCACAGTCCAGGGTCTTCTAAATCAAAGCTAACTGGCCAGACAAACCACTGCCTGAAACCACTGTCAGCCCCTGTCTAAATGCATTGGAGTGTGAGTGCTGGAGTATCAAAGAGCCTGTCCTCAGGAAAACCACCCAGACGTGGCTGGCCTTCAGTAGATTCCCTCTTTTCTTTCTGACTTTTTTTCTCTTTTTTGCTTTCCTCTCATTTTTCATTACTCTCACCTCATCTGTACTCCTCCCTCCATCTACAGTTCTGTCTTTATTTTGTCCCGCTTTCTTTTGATCTCCCTTTGACTCTCTCCACTTGTCTTCTGACTCTTAGTTTAGGTCCAGAAATCATTTCTCATATCTTTCAACCCCATCTCCAGCTCTGTTTTTTTTCCCCTTTCTTTCTCTGTTTTTACCTTCTGCCCCCTCAGCCTAAATGACCCCCAGTGTTGTGAGATCTGATTTCCCTTCAGTCAAAACTGCAAAGCCTCCCGGGACCAGAGATCCAAAGTAAAGAAAGCACAATGGAGAAAGAGAGAGTAGGACAGAGTTTTGCACCGCAGACACACGAGACCACCGTCGCTTCACCGCCAAAGCGCCAGGCTCAGCAGTTGGGGCCAGAGAAATTGGCTGGCCCTCTCTCCACTTCTCTCAGAGCGATATTAAACACAAACAGAAGGGGCCTCGCCGCTGAAACAAAGCCCTGATGTCACGCCGCTTATTTTCCTTGGAAGGTACCGGGAGTGCTCGGTCCAACCCCTGGCGATATGAGATCCCTGTAAGAATGTGCCTTGAATGACTGGTGGTGAGGCCTCTCGCGTCAATCAAGCCGACCACAGAGTTACTTCTGGTGATGCCTGATATTCTTAGAGCTCTAAGGGGAGCAGGGGCTGGGGCAGACACATGAGTCCTTGAGGTAAAACACACAGTTAGGATCTCACACCCATGTCTGCACAAACACACACACACGCAGTGCTTTTTTTTTTTCCGCAAACACACCCACAGCTTTTGTGCTGCGAGCAGCGATTCTGTCAACGGTTACAAATATGAGGAGGGAACTGTTGAACAAACAACAGACTGACAATAAGAGCTTTTACCTAATTTTTTTTCTCTGCTTCTTCAAGACACTCAGAGATTGATTGTGTACTGGGGAAACCAATCTGCAGCGTAAACAACACCAACCAGAGTTCCTGCCATTCAGCCAACTCCCGAGGGAAGACAATGCTGCAATTTCCTAAATTGCAAATTGACAAAGAGGGCCTCGAAGTGTGTCTCAGCTGTCCAGACTATTTGACTCTTTGGATATCAGTGCCCATTTGACTAAAATCCAAATAATTAGTCTGTCGTTTTTGACACACGTGATTATTAGCATTTTTGCTTTCTCTTTTTTTGGAGGGGGGGGG